TGTAGATGATCAGTGTGTGTGATCAGTGTGTAGATGATCAATGTGTGTAGATGATCAGTGTGTGTGTGATCAGTGTGTGTGTGATCAGTGTGTGTGTGATCAGTGTGTAGATGATCAGTGTGTAGATGATCAGTGTGTAGATGATCAGTGTGTGTGATCAGTGTGTGTGTGATCAGTGTGTGTGTGATCAGTGTGTAGATGATCAGTGTGTGTGATCAGTGTGTGTGTGATCAGTGTGTGTGTGATCAGTGTGTGTGTGATCAGTGTGTGTGTGATCAGTGTGTGTGATCAGTGTGTAGATGATCAGTGTGTGTGATCAGTGTGTGTGTGATCAGTGTGTGTGTGATCAGTGTGTGTGTGATCAGTGTGTATGATCAGTGTGTAGATGATCAGTGTGTAGATGATCAGTGTGTGTATGATCAGTGTGTAGATGATCAGTGTGTAGATGATCAGTGTGTGTGTGATCAGTGTGTGTGTGATCAGTGTGTAGATGATCAGTGTGTAGATGATCAGTGTGTGTGTGATCAGTGTGTGTGTGATCAGTGTGTGTAGATGATCAGTGTGTAGATGATCAGTGTGTGTAGATGATCAGTGTGTAGATGATCAGTGTGTAGATGATCAGTGTAGATGATCAGTGTGTAGATGATCAGTGTGTGTGTGATCAGTGTGTGTATGATCAGTGTGTAGATGATCAGTGTGTAGATGATCAGTGTGTAGATGATCAGTGTGTAGATGATCAGTGTGTAGATGATCAGTGTGTAGATGATCAGTGTGTGTGTGATCAGTGTGTAGATGATCAGTGTGTGTGTGATCAGTGTGTAGATGATCAGTGTGTGTATGATCAGTGTGTGTAGATGATCAGTGTGTAGATGATCAGTGTGTAGATGATCAGTGTGTAGATGATCAGTGTGTAGATGATCAGTGTGTAGATGATCAGTGTGTGTGTGATCAGTGTGTGTGTGATCAGTGTGTGTGTGATCAGTGTGTAGATGATCAGTGTGTAGATGATCAGTG